TTTTTTAGTGGCGTAAAAGCTTATGTCTTTTTGCATTAGATTCTTTAGAGGATGATGAGATCTTCTTCACTGTTTGAGGGGGTGGTCCCTTTGTCACATGGGGCTTTAGCTTTTCTTTTTGCAGATTCCTTTTTGTAGCAGAAACCACAATGATTGTCATGCATTAACAACTTACATAGTCTATTATGGATTGCTATACTGGCTGGGACCAAATTTTCAAAGATTTCCTTTCTTTTCTGCTTTATTTTGAACAGGCTGATGCTTGTCATTAATCTTGTACTAGTGGATACTATCGAGATTTCCTTGGAGAAGCCATATGTCCATGTCTTCCTCATCTCTATCATTTTGTCAAAGGTTTAAAGTAAAACCTTGAATCCTAGAACTTGTCTCTCTTGGATGAACTCAATCCCACGAAGAGACTCTTCAAAGTCTCGAAAAATTGATCTTCATTTGCTTTTACCTTGATTTTCTTAGACTGGATTCCAATTTGAACTATATGATGACTGGGGAAATATTTAGATTTCTCCCATTCTGGTGCTGTAGAGTAGATTTTGACAAATACTACCCCTTGAGCTTTGATGCTAGTTTTGAAGTTTTTCACTCCTTGGCGTATAACTTCTGGAAGTTCTGACACTTCTTCATTCTCTTTTGAGAGATAAATATAGTTTACAAAACCGTAATTGAGTAACTCTTTTATTGCTTTTAGGTTTGCACCCTGCATGAAATTAATTTTAGGATAAATCCCTTCATGGATAGGATGGCAATTCTCAATGGACCTTATTGAATATGCCATTTTACAAACTCTATGCTATTCCTGCAGATATTCTTCACTCATTGTCATTTTTGACAAGATGTCTATCATTGTAACTTTCTTTTCTTTCTTTCCTAAGTAATCAAGTTGAAAGTTATGGTTTTCGACATTTTGAATAGCCGGCTTTTTAGCTTGAGACGTTGATATTTCTGGGGGAGAGTATTTGACATAATAGTTAAACTTCCCTGAATTTTCTCCAAGTAACCTGACTGAAGGATCACCTTGTTCAAAATTTTCTTTTAGCTCTTGTTGGGAGCTTTTCTTTGCCATCTGGCTAGATTCTTTGGAGTTGATTTTGACAATAGTAATTACTCTAGAACTCATTAATTTTTCTATTAGCTCTTTGACTTCTTCAAGGGTATCTTGTCCCTTATTTAATAACTCATGGCCTTTAATAATTTTTTCTTGGCTTTCACCCATAAGGTTATGCCCTTTATTAATTATTTCTTGGTCTTCAATCATTTTTTCTTGGCCTTCTCTTATTTGGTTATTGCCTTCAATGAGTATTTCTTGACTTTTGAGAATAAGGTCTTTCCCTTTTGTCACGCCCCAAAACCCAATTTCGAGACGCGACAGACGCCGTGCACTCGTGAGAAAACCCAATTTCGAGACGCGACAGACGCCGTGCACTCGTGAGAAAACCCAATTTCGAGACGCGACAGACGCCGTGCACTCGTGAGAAAGTCCCACAAATGCACAAGGCTCGGAACTTATCATATCACACTCTGATACCACCAAAAACTGAAGATCAAATCTTTAAAATTTACTTTGATATCATAAAATCTCCAAATACAAGATCATGATTCATATCTAAAATTTATATCCAATTACAATATGGCTAGCCTTCTAACTCGTCACTTCCCGTGGTTTCCCCGTCCTCGGTTTCACTTCCTGAAATGGT